CAAATAAAATAATAAAATAATACAATAATAATTTTTTTAAAAAATGGGCAGAAGACTCGAATAGACACTTTTCTAAAGAAGACATACAGATGACCAACGGGCACATGAAAAGATGCTCAACATCCCTAATCTTCAGAGTAATGCAGATAAAGCCACAATGAGATATCACCTCACACCTGTCAGAAAGGCTACCATCAAAAAGACCAAAATAACAAAAGCTGGCAAGGATATGGAGAAAAAAAAATGTGACAGGTGACAATGAATATACCTATGTTCATGTATAACTGAAAAATTGTGCTCTAAACTGGAATTTGACACAACATTGTAAAATGACTATTGCTCAATAAAAAATAGTTTAAAAAAAAAAAGAAAGGAAAGTGTACCACCAAAGGGGGTTCAGAATGAAATGAGCCCTTCCTTCCACTTGGTCTCTTGAGTGTGTCTTATAATAATAAAAACTATTAACTGAACCTTTATTATATGCCAGTCACTACTGTAAGCTACTTACTACATTACTTATTTATACTACTACATTATAAACACTCTCATGTAATCCTCAAAAAATAAAACAACAACAAAGAAAATGAAAACACTAATTCAAAAAGATACATGCACCCCAATGTTCACAGCAGCATTTTTTTTTTTTACAATAGCCAAGACATGGAAGCAATCTACACGTTCATCAATAGATGAATGGATAAAGAAGATACAGTGTGTGCGTGCATATGTACACACACACACACACACACACACACACACACACAGTGGAATATTACTCATTTGCCCATTGTAATAATACAGATGGACCTGGAGGGAATTATGTTTAGTGAAATAAGTCAGACAGAAAAAGACAAATACTGTTTGATAACACTTACATGTGGAATCTAAAAAATAATACAAATGAATGTATATGCAAAACAGAAAGAGACTCAGATTTAGAGAACTAGTGGTTACAGTGGAAAGAGGGAAGGTAGGAGATTAAGAGGTACAAACTACTGTGTATAAGATGAATAAGTTGCAAGGATATGTTGTATAGCAAGGGGAATATAGCCAATATTATAATAACTTAATGGAGCATAATCTATAAAAATTTGAATCAGTATGTTGTACACCTGGAACTAATATTATAAATCAACTATGCCTCAATTTAAAAAAAAGAAGATGGTTTTCTGTATGTGTACTATACTTGAATAAAAAGTTAACACACAGAAAGATAATGGCTTCAAATTAGGATAAATGGAAAAACAATATGATCGACAGAAATAGGAAATTTGCAATGCATCTTTTCAAAGATCAACCCATTATGCAAAACTTGAACACATTCCAGTTAATCGCTTGGATATTTGGGATTCTTCCAACATCATATATGAACTCATTCAGCATGTGCTTATTGAGCATGCCTTATGTCTAGTCACTTTGCAACAAATAAAGGTTGTGGGGGGTTGTCCACAGGTTACTGATGAGCTCACATTTTGGATTCTCCCAATGCCTCTCACTACAGTGAAAAACCTTTCTGTGCTACGCATTGATGTGACCAAGGTTAACACAGCCCCTGGCCCATTTGAGAATATGACTTTCACAGAAATCTGGCTTTCTGGGGTAGCTTTCCTATGTGTAAGTTATAGCAAAACTCTAAATGACGTCTTCTTGCAATTCTTTTTCCCTTTCATTTTTAAAGCTATGTAGGTAATTTTCCTATAATGTCTTATTTTCCAGTTGTTTAACGTTTCTCTTAGCAGGAAGGAACTGCTTTTTGTTTGTTTAATGGGGAGAAATGTTAGAAAACCCCGCCTCAGATGTCTTGTATTACTATATTCAGTTCATGTTAAGATCGTAAGTATTCTGAGTCTTAAACTAGGGATCGTCTCAGTCAAAAGTTGTCAGTACTTATACATTTAATTTATCACTGGGTTAGTATAAACTAAAAGAAGGGGAAAAAAAGTCTCTCCTGGGGCTGAGCCTGGACTGTGTTCTCATGGGAGTTCTAAACCATTTTTGGTAACTGTCATTTTCCAAGCATCAAAATATGTAGAAAGTAAACGGCCTCAAAATATGGGTTGTCCGTGGTGTGGCAAATTTTGAATATCACTTCTTCTCAGATGTCTGCAGATGTACCAAGTAGCAATCATAGAAAGCCAGTTTAAAATCTACTTTATTCAAAACCTTTCTATTAAATGATAAATATTAAGAGGAATAATGTCATTTTACACATCAACAAAACTTCATAGTCAGCAGAAAACAGAGCCAAGTAGCCAAAGAGAACATTTCGATACTGTTTGAGAGTTCAGTACTTTCCCTGACATCATTTCTTAGTTGGGGCACTCAAACAGGCAGCAGCCTATCATTTACAGCCCTTGTCATTTCCTGTTCCAATTCATTAAACCCTAGGCTTTCGCTAGAAACACAATCCACATGGAATTCTTCTGCCAGTTAGAAAAGATCAATTCAAAGGATGCAGAAATTGATATGCAACCCTTGAGTGGGCATGAACACCATAATAAACTGTCACCTACACATGGAATTATATTTTGTTGACTGACAGCGTATGGGCAGAAGCAGTGGGAGCACATGTTTAGTCCTTATAGTTGAGGCTTCTTGCATATTGACTGGCTTCTCTTTGGCTGCCAAAGAATGAATCCAGTTCAAAAGCTTAAAGCCAAGTTGGCAATTCTTTGTCTTTCTCTCTAAAAATTACTCTAATTAAGTAAGGCAATACAGCTAATTTACACACAGAGGCTTGATTCTAAACTTCAGTCATTTGCCTCTTTTCTTCTCAGCGATACTTAAAGTTCTAGGATTCCAGAGTCACATTCATAAACACATATATAAACACCAGTGACCAAAAAAAAAAAAAAGTCCCATGGCTACTGTATGCCCTAATGGAGATGAGGATAAAATAACACCCTAATGCAGAAATGAGAGGGCTTGAAATAATGCAGCTGGCACTCTCAATCATGAGTGAAGCACCTGGGATTGCAAAGGCAATATTTAGCTTTCAGAAGCTTGTTGCTAACAGGAGTCAGGATCTCTTACATCTTTTCTTTCCTAGTTCTAAAGTGGTGGGCAAAATGTCTGCTTTTATTGATTTGAAGTGGCCTAACGACTGCCCAAAAATGAGCAAAGGAAATTATATACATATGTTCTCCTTCTAAAATGCCACCTTTGTGAAGCTGTCTTGATTTCAGAATGTACAGCTTCATCCTCTACACTCTATTATATAATTTATATCTCCATTAATATTTGCAAACTATTTTCTATGTGAGTAATGTGTTTACAGGTCTTCCCCCACTTACTAAACTGTAAACTTTCACAGCTCAGAGACCAAGTTATTATATCTGGTCCCCACAATGCCAAGCAGAGTGCTTTATAAACGGCAGGTGCAAAATAAATGTTTGGTGAATGAATAAATGTGGTAGTGTCAGGTTTATGATGACTATAAGTTACGATGATGTTAAGAGTAGTTGCTCCCTTCACCCCAGTCTCTTTCCTCTGTATTTGATATCATGATTGCATGCACTGAACAGGGAGAAAGATTTAGAGATGTCTTCCTGGGAATTTTATATTCAGTGTCTACTTTGATAACCTTCAAGTAAACCATCTTTAGAAGAAGATTTCCAGGGGTAAACTCAACTTGAGGACAGTTTCAGTCAGTCAGACAAAAGGTATATCTGCTTCCTGTGATGCAGCGTGTTGTCAGACATCTCAGGAAAAACTCCAAAATTCTAAAAGCCGAGAGCATGACTCCACAAGACTCTATTAACCAGGTACTGTCTATATAAAATGATCAAGAAGAGGAAAGAAGGAATCCTGAATTTCCATTAACTGAGAAGGAAGAATGGTCTTTAATTCTCAAAAAGCACGGGTCTAACTAGAGACTGACTACTGAGGAGGGACAAATGTCTCAGGAACACAGAGTTAAAGGAAACATGTGTCTAAAGAGAGAAAGGTCAAATTTAGGTAATGAAAGTCATCTCAAATAAGATCTCTCCCTGCCCATTTTCATCTGTTTCACATGTTATTTTACTACGGGATTCAGGATTTGGCAAAACTTTTAATAAGTGGTTATTTGGAAATCTCTAAACAATGATTGATTTCTCCCACAATGTATATTTTTTCCTTCCAAAACAAACAAGATACTTTGACTTTGACAGGAACAATTTCCAATCTCTTAGCACTGAAAGGTACAGAAGAAGATGGAAAATTGTTTGAATACTATATAGCACTTTTGAGTTTTTTGGCCATCATCCCCAGGGCTAGATTTAATTGAAAGATGAAGAACAAGCTCAAAAGCTTTTAGTTGACAAGAAGCAAGTCTTGGGTTTGGGATTTTTGTGTCTGAGCTGTAAGTCAGGTTCACAGAAAAGTAATCAGAAACTAGACTGGCTGGAGAGAAGAAAGAGCCTTGAAATGAGAGGTGTCAGACCATGGACTGTACTTGTGACTTGGTCTCTTAACAAGCCTGGGACCCTGAACAAATTACCTAAACTCTCATCTGTAAAGTGCTTTGATAATTTCTAAAACCCCCTTGTAGTCGCGATCAATTTTTAATTGTCTCTTAAGGCATAAATTAGTTCATCCAACTATATTAATACCTTCAATGAATATAATAAAAGACAGCTTCTGCCCTCAAAGAGTGGACCAGTCAGTAGGAAAAGTGAAGGCTTCACCCACAGCTCATTTACCCATTCAAGATCTAAACAAAATTCACAAAGGAGCCCAGCAGGGAATGAGGATGGAAAAGGGTGGAGAAACTCCACAGAAGCTCTTAGGAGGAAGAGACGGTCATTTATTATTTCAGGCCACCAAGTTTATTGAATGATTACTGTGTGCTGGGCACTGGGGATCTTGAGGTGACCCACACAGATCAGGCCTCTAATGATGCTAACCTGCATTCCAGATGATGAAGAAAGAAAAAGAGGTTAAGAAATAAATCCAGATTGTGATAAGTTCTATGAAGGAAATAGGGTGATAATGAAAGAATAATTGTGGGTGTGTTTTACCTCAGCGGGCAGGCGTCCGCTCACAAAGCCCGGCAGCTGACTGTGTTCGACATACGGGTTGCTCAGGCGGGGCGGCCCCGAGCCAAAGGCGCCTTCAGGGCCCGCGTGCGGTGCCACGAGCTCAGCGCGGGTCCCTCATGTCCGGGAGCTCCGGGTGAGCTCTCGGAAGGGCGGGAAACGCGGCCGCAAAGACGCCGCGCCGGCTGCCGGAGGTCAGATGGACGGCGCCGAGGGGGCGGGGCTCGCCAGGGGCCTGTTAGCCGCCGGCTCCCGCTTTTTGCATATTCGTAAGGCCGAGAGGGGCGGGCCGCCCAAGCAAGCGTGAGAGGTAATGAATTATTCATGAGAAAACGTCTCGCCCCGCCCAGGAAGGACTCGTTGATTATTTATAAGCCCGAGAGGCGTTTGGGCCAGAAAAAGCCGTTGAGTCCCCCTCACAGGGAGCCGTCGACCTGCTGAGGTGAGGGCTGTCCACACGCAAGCAATCCAGAGAAAAAGGGCGCTGAGTGCTGTCCTCTTGTTTTATGTTATTATTATTATTTTTTTCCTTTTCGTTTCTTTTTACTTGAGGCTTCAAGTTTGATTTGAAAGTATTTCGCTGAGGCCTGAAGTATTCTGAGGAGTAGCGGGAAGCCTGGATCCGAGGGGAAGGACAGGGGGCGCCTCTAGGTAACATCCCCTCAAGGCTTGACGATGAAAAATTTCCCATTTACCGGGAGGAAAAACGTGGAGAGAACTGTTCCGGGAACACCCAGATTCTTACTATCTAGGTAGCTTTTAAATTGAGATTTTGGTGGAAAAGAAGGAATCAGACCTGACGAGGACGCGGCAGCGGTAACTGGCCGCCAAGCGCTCGGTCAGGCCGAAGTCTGTGTTCTGCCATGAGTTGGATGGGAGCTTTGGGGGGTTATCTTCTAGGTCAGGTTTTCTCCAGCCTTTGAGGTGCTCTGTCAGAATCAGCGGCTGGCGCAGATCAAGGCTGGAGGGGGCGGGATGAATCCCCATGGGATGGCCTCACCTCCTCTTTCACCTTACTCAGGGTTTGCCATTTAATCTCTGTGCACTTTAGTTCCCCAAACTGGGCAGGGGAGACAATGTCTTGGAACTCAAGATTAGCCAATTACTAAAATGTGTTCAATTGTGCAGAGTACTGGACGCGGTGTGCAGTACATCATGTTCTTGGCCAGTGAAAATGAAGAAGTATGGTTCTTGCCCGTAAAGCAGTTTTAATCTAATTAGGACAATAGTTTCTCCCCCATTGGGCCATAAATCTCTTGAGATGGGAACAGTATTTTACATCTTTGTAAGCCTACACGACGACGACTGGCACATTGTTGCCTAGTAAACGCTGAATGAATGAATAACTGAAGTAGCATGAAGAAGATATTAAAAAACCCAAAAGAGCATGAATAAATACCCAGCTAATATAGTGGAAACCATTTACCCTGAGTGAGAACGGAGTAGGGGAATTAACAGGACCAAATGGGATTTGTTAAAGTGGTGAATAATAATGTATGGAAGCAAACTCTGGGAAACCTCTGAATAACAAGATGACCTTTGGCAAACCACGTCCCTTTGCTGGACTTGCCTCTTCTTTATAGCTTTATATTTTACATTTAAATCTATGATCCATTTTGAATTAATATTTGTATGTGGTGTCAGGTTTAGGCTGAGGGTTTTGGGATTTTTTCTATGTAAGGATGTCCTATTGTTCCAGCACTATTTGTTAAAAAGACTATCCTTCCTCCCCTGAACTGACTTTCCTTTTCTTTAAATGAAGGGATTGAATTAGTTGTAGAGGATGTCTCCTCTCCCTTCCAACTCTATGATGTGGGCCCATTTATGTTAACATGTGCTTCCTTTGAGTAAGGCCATCCTTCATGTCATACACACGACATATGTATAAGGAAGGTCATCTAGCTGCATCTTAAAATCCAGCTATTGGATATTATTCATTTGGTAGAAAAGGGATTTTCTTGCTTAAAAAATAGTTTTGGAAGATTGAGAAAGTTGGGTAGACAGCATTAGGAAATCAACTATTATTGTCTTTGGACAAATGTAATGAAACTTTCATTTCTTATGTCACTCAGAATGCCCCCCCCCAAAAAAAACTCGATGGCTTAGGCCTTCAGAAACTAAACAACAGCTGGTCAATCTTCATCTGAATCTTGGATTCACACATAAAATGGTAAAATAGTCATTGTGCCACCACTTTAAATAGGGCAGTTGAGATGTAGGTCAAGAGGTGAGCACAGAGTGAGTCTTTAACTGAGAGAACACAGATTTGCCTCTTTCTTACGGAGATCATAATCCTTGTCACAGAGTAAACATATTAAGCATAAAAGTGAATGGTACTGATGCTCTGTAAAGTTTCAGATGCTTGTAGATCCAATATGCAAGCAAATATATAAGTGAAAGGCATTTGAAAGTTAGAGTTCTGTTCTTAAAACCCATAGTTATGAAATCTCTCATAAGTATTTAGATAATGACCCAGAACAAGGTGATAAAAAAATCAGTAATTTTCTGAGAGTGCATGATCTGTGGAGTCATACCTCCTGGGGCTGTCAGCTTGTGAGCTTTCAAAATTAAGCAGAGTTTGTACTTGAATAGGAGACTTCTACAAACAACTGTTCAAAGGGAAAACAACAATAGCAACAGAATAGTTAGAGGTTGAAAGGAGTCTGGCTATTTAAAACAATTATTTAGATCATTTTTGCCTTCCCGAAGCCAGCTCATTGTATAGCACCAAAGAAAGACACAACCATGTTTAGAAATAAAGCAAGCAAGCCTAACAGCGAGCAAGATGCTGGTAGTACATCATTTTAGATGGAATGAAAGCAAAGGGGAATTTCATTGTGGAGCGTCATTGTGGAAAAACCCACACATTGTGACTCAAAATTCTTGATTTTTATTCTCGGTTCTGCCTCTAAGGGGTTGATTGACCTTGGGTAAGTCAATTGATTTCTCTGGACCTTGATTATCTCATGTAGAGAATTAGATGTTCAGACTAGATGACATTTGAAGTTCCTTCTACTTCTAAAATTCTATAATTCTTTTCTAGACCCTTAATTCTTTCTTGTTTCTGTAGCACTTCTCTATTGACTCCGCAGACATTTATTGAGCACCTACTGTGTTCCAGCCGAGGATTCAAGAATGAGCTAAACTAGACACAAAAGTTTATATATGATTCCACTTATATGAAACGTCCAGAATAGGCAAATCCATAGAGATGAAAAGTAGATTAGTGGTTGCAAGGGGTCAAGGGATGGGAAAATGGGGCATGATTGCTAATTTCTTTTGGGGTAATGAAAATCTTCTGAAATTAGATAGTAGCAATGGTTACAAAACTTCATGAATATACTAAAACCCATTGAACTGTACCTTAAAAAAACTTAAAAAATGAAAAATGAGCTAGGCAGATACAACTTTGCCCTCACATTATCTCACAGCAAGGTGGAGTGGTATATATTACAATGGGCACATAATCCGGACTTGGTGGTGGTGGTGAACCAGGGAGTAATTCCTTGAGAAAATTACACTAAGGCATGTCTAGGGGATGAGTAATAATTGGGAAGGGAGGAGGATGTTTCAGGCAGAAGGAATATTACAAAAGCCGGAAAGCTAGAGAGAATATAGGGTAATTAAAGTGGACAAGAATACCTGGTGCATTAAAGTGTAAGGGAAAATGGTTGGAGACGTGGCTAAGGAGGCATGAGCCAGTTCATGAGCCAGATCAGGGTAAGGAGTTTAGATTTTATCCTGAGGGCAGTGGGGAGCCATTGAAGTATTTCAGTCTAGGAAGTTACATAATCAATTTTGTAATTTAGAAAGAAAAACCTGGCTGCAGTACAAAGAATAGACTGGAAAAGAGTAAGACCAGTGACGGGCAGAGTGGTGATTGTAAAAGTGCAGGCAAAAGATGAGGCTGATCTGATCTAAAGCAGAGATGACAACAATGTGAATGAAATGAGGAGTGGACATTTGAGAAATATTGAGACTGGATGTGGGAATGAGGGAAGGAACATGGTTGAGTCACAATTTTTAGGCCTGAGCATCTAGGTATTATTTGATGGTATCATTCAGTTAGCTAACGTACAGAAATAGGTTTGCAGGGGAAATAATTCACATTTGGATATGTTGGGAACATCAAAGTGGAACTGTCTCATAGTCAGAGGTATAGATCAGCACCTCCCAGAGGGACCTGAGTTGGAGATATACATATGAGAGTCATTAGAATAGAAATAGTAATTGAAACAATGGGAATGCATTTCTTCATCCAGGGAGTGTGTTTAGAAGTTAAAAAAAAAAAAGGAAAGGAAAGCTCCTATGATAGAACCTTGAAGGGCACCAAAAGCTAAGAAATGGGCAGGGAAAAAGTCTGAAAGTGGCAATGAGAAGGAACAACTGGGAGGCTGGAAGAAAACTAGGAGTTCAAATACTAATATAAGCTTTTTAAAATAAACATGTTTTGTTACATACAATGAAATGTGTATCAGACAGTGTTACAAGTACCATACAAATAATGCCTCATTTAGGCCTCACAACAACCCTGTGATGTAGGTACTGTTACTGTCCCTACTTTACAGGTGGGGAAACCAAAGCACACAACCTGCACAAGATGATATAGCAACTGAATTGCAGATTGAGATTTGATTCTAGGCAGTTTGTCTCCAGAAGTGTTCACGTGCTTGACCCCTATGCTATGTTTCCTCTCCAGATAAATATATGCCCCAATAAACACTGTAAGAGCCTTGGAAAGTTGGATTTGTTGTCTACATTTTACAAAAAGGAAACTGAAGCCCAGAGATATTAAGTAATTTGAACAAATCACAGAGCTACTAGGTAGTTGAGCAGAATTTGAACCTAGGTTACTTACCTCCAAAGCCTTTCTCTTAGACTACACTGCTGGCTATTTTTCTTTGTATACATACATATGTGTATGTAAAATTCAACTTTACTTATTTTCCAAATGTTAATTCCGCAGGTATTTCCCAAATGCTAATAGTGACTAGTTTTGAATCCCTTCTCAAAAGCAAGTACCCTGGGTGTCTGAGTTTTCAGTAATGATATCAATTTAAACTAGGTTATCCATAAATTCCAAAAATATTCGTGAATGTAGTAAATGCATTGTGTTCTAATTGGCTGATGTTATTTTCAAAGCTTTATATTCTAGAAATGTCTTCAGAATATCTTATGATCACAGAGAAAAATTTAAAACCCCACCAATATAGAAAACTATTTAAAAATCATTATTCTCTTACTTATTGTCTCTAAGACTAATAACTACCGCAAAAGGGGGTGGTTTACC